AATATATATATTTTAATCTTTAAGGATACAAGGTGCTTCAAGGCTCATTGTTAGTTTGTGAAATTGCACAGTGATCACTGTATCCTATTCTGTACAGTGAAATCTTGCTTTAGTGGATATTGATAAAACAGACTTCACATGCAGCATATCAAATTTTCACAACAGTTTATGTCATTTGCTTAATTACATCATTATCTGAATAAGATGATTTGCATCATTTATGTTAGGATGTCATCACAAAAATAAAATAAATCCCTATGATGCCCTACTTTCCAATTCAACAGACTTTACTCAATAAGATACCCCTCCCCCAATTCATTAAAATTAGATTTCACTGTACCACATTACCTCATTGAGACAGAAATTAAATCCTTAATGATATGTCCAAATGTTTAAAACAATTAATACAAATAATATACAATAAATATTCACCAATTCCCCAGTCCTTTTAATTTGCTTCAATCTCTCTCATGTGTCTGTTAGTCACTGTAGGAAGACATGAGTCCATTTAATAAAAGTGACTTCAGTGTACTACCAATTTTAAGTTAAGGATTTGCTCCCATGATTTTGCAGAAATAAAGAGTTTTTGGTTTTTAATTTCCTTTAAAACACAATACTGTGAAATCTTGATTTACTTAATAGAATAGGTTACTGACAGAAAAAGATCCAAAGCAACATGTACCATTTAATTGAAGGAAACTGAAACAGTGATCACATGCTATCCACATTGTGATAACTAAATGGTTTGAGACCAGTTTTATTCCTAGTTTGGTTTTCTTATTTTTATGTTTAATTCAGTTACCATTTTATAGAAATTCTATTAACTATTTTTACAATATTTAATTTCCCACTCCTTCCACTATTCTACATATTCATCTCCTATCTTCCTCCCTTAAACATACATACATACATATAAATAATATGTTTGTTTATGGGAGGAAGATGGAAGATGAATACACAGAGAGAAGTAAAAATAAAAGTAAATAATCATAAACAAATAAGTAAATAAAAATATTCTGATTAGGGTGGAAGTTCATTATGCCTCCAAAAAAATTCTTATACATAAGTTCTTATAACATGTTAAGCCATACTTTGCTTAACCGTGATTTACTAATGAAATTACAATTCACTGGGATTCATACAACATATTAATGTTTAAAGCACAGCTTACAACCACATAAAGTCTGGGTTTGAGCAACACACCAAGCCACATAGAAGCCAACATTATGACTTAACATATAGTGGAACTTGGGGGGAAAGTGGGCATTTAGTACAGAGGAGTCAAGGAACTGTGCAACAAAACTTCAACACTGCTTATCTGATACAGCCTTATCTGCAGTTATTCAAACTTCTTCAGGGACACAGCTTTCAAATACATACTGTATACAAAAGGCCTATCTTTAATTAAAATCCCTGATCTGGATATACGTGTGAAACAAGGCTTATGTGAAAGGAATATTTGCAGGTTGAGACTTGCAGTCTTTACTGGTACAGTTCAAGTCTTCCCCCGCCCCCAAGAACTAGGCCTAATTTTCTGTAGTTGATGCCAAGTTACAGCCTAAGAAAGATTAATTATAATTAAAATGCTTGTCATCTTACGGCGTTTTGGAAAAGTGTCAGGGTGCGTGTGTAAAATCTTTGTGTTACATGACCACAATGTCCTGTGCCATCCTCCTCTTCACCCCTCCTCCTCGCATTCCCAGCAAGCTCAGTTCAGTCTTGCCATGTTGCCCAGAGGAAGAGAGGAAACAAATGGAGCTAATGCCCCCCAATTCTCACCCAGAGAGAAAGAACAAGTAGAAATATCTGACAGCAATTAATGCTTCCTTGAATGTATGAGAAAAGAACAATGATGGCAGCTGTAAGACAAAACAGCTACCACCTCTCCCCTTTCACTTTCTGGACAGCACAGAAAGTGGGATATAGCAATGACAGTACATGGGTACAATGCAATGCATGCCCGAATAACATCAGTCAAACTTTGTGGACCACCCTTTAATAATATGATATCCAGGTTTATGGTCTAACCTCTGATGCAGAAGAGGAAGCTGATGAGTGTTATGATCCAGTTCAGATCATAAAACAACAGAACATGCAAATCAACAGAACATGCAAATAAGATGTGCTTCTTGTGGCTGGAAATTGGAATCCAAAGTTGGAAATATTATGGAAGAAAATCTGTTGGACTGCATGGACTAGGAAACTGAAATGAAGCAGGAGGATGACTTATAAATTTCTGCCAATTTAATGATGATACAGTCTTTTGAAAACCAAAATGATACCTACATGAACATCACCAGATAAAGTACACAGAAATCAAATTGACTATAAATCAGTACAAAGAGGTGGAAGGGCTCAGTTATAACAGCAAAGATGTGTTTGGGGTTTGACTGTGGAACAGATAATGAACTGCTCATGGATAAGTTCCAATTCAAGCTAAAGCAGCAGAAGAAAGCCAACCAGTTTCCATGACATTCAACTATTTTCAGGGAGAACATCAGGAATCACATTGGAAGTCTTGAACCTCATTGAGAGGAACTGTGGAATGAAATCAGTGAGGTTAAGGATGAATGGGAAGAGAGACTGTCAAAGACCAAGAAACAGAAGAAAGCAAACTGGATGTCAAAACAAACTGGAATTGCCAAGAAGAAAAGCCAAAGCCAAGAAAGATAAAGATCTCAGGAAGGAACTTAACAAAGAATTTCAAATAGTTGTTAGAAGAGGCAAAAAACAGTATTACAGTATCTGGAAAGATACTGAAGATACAAACAAGACATGAAAAAAGAAGAAAAGTCTTCCAAAAAATCTCTGAACTCAGAAGGAGATTCCAACCTCAAACTGGTATGTTGAAGGATGCCAATAGACAGGTTAATAACTGATTCCAAGAAGATCAAACAAAGATGGAAGGAATATACTGAAATTCTATACATGAGGGATGTCAGCATCCAAGATACCTTAAAAGGTATTCCCTACTTACCATAAACTCTCTTATGGGAAGGTGACATGTCATTATCCTCATATAAAATCTATACATAGTTCAGGAAGCTACAGTCCAGACAAAACATGACAAAACAGACCGGCTCCAGGTTCGCAAAGGAGTGAGACAAGGCTGTATACTCTCTCCTTGATGGCTTATAATCAATATATGTTGCAGAAAGGAGAAAACACTGACCCTCCAAAACTTGAATTACAACGCCCAGCACATATGACAGTGCCAATATAATTCCATTCTGATTAGCGCTACCAGAGCTGGACTACATGACACTGGAAAAAACACCACATGGCAGAAAAGAGACACAGAAAACTTGTAACCCTTAGTGATCACCTGGATTTTTGCAGCCCAGTGCTAGTAGGACTGACCTAGCCTTTCCCTAACATGTTAATTTCTATGGCCTAGTCCTCACTAATGTGTTCAACATATAACTGAGCTGCAAATGGGGAGTCAATTGCTACTACTCCAAGTAATGATATCTATATACCAAACACCCAAATACCAGTATGAGAAAAAGGTTTTAGGGTAACTTTTTCCTTAATGTGCTGGCTTTCTATGTGCAGGAAAGCTGTAGGTATGTCACCACTGATAAATAGGTTCCCCTTGCTTTATGTGAATTCACTTTATGTGAAAAAAAACCCACACTATTATGAGATTTGTACCAGCATAGTCAATTTGCATCAAAGGTCTGGAAACATGCTAAGATTTCTTCCTGCCCAAACTGCTTGAATACTTTCCCACCAAAACCTTTTTATACTCTCACTCATGCACTTACCATTGTGCTATACAGTTATTCTAGCTGTGCATCCTATCTTCCACTTATTTCTCTACCTGCAATAGCCATTACTCTGGGATCACGGTGGTCAGCAACTATTTGTCCAATCCCCTTACTCAAAAAGAATAGAAATAAAGTTGGGCATATAAAACTGCACTAAAACTGGTAAAGGATCTTCAGCCCTAGAACAAGTTTTTGACTTGGGTGAATCTACTGTGCACAATATCTTGAAGAATGCTAATAAATGGCGACTGCTTGGACAAGTCCCTGCAGATATTTTGGCAAGATTTTGGAAGCGGTTTGCCATTGCCGCCTCCTTAGGGCTGAGAGAGAATGACTGGCCCAAGGTCACCCAGCTGGCTTTGTGCCTAAAGCAGGACTAGAATTCATGGTCTCCCAGTTTCTACCCCGGTGCCTTAGCCACTACACCAAACTGGCTCTCGTATTAGAAATACAACTGTAAAAAAGATGGAGAAATTGCTTTCACTGTACACAGAACCTGAGACAAGGAAGAAAACATGTTTGAGCAGCCTAGTACTTAAAAGAAGGCTCTAAAAATGTATGAGCACATTTGACAATGCATTTGAGTAACAAAATTTGACACCACACCTTGCAACACCCTTTTTTCCACTAGTTCAGTGTCTTGCTTCATGTAAAGTTTTGAGGGAAACATAACCCTGGCAAGTACTGCAGCATGGGAGGACAGTGGCCCTGAAGGTATTGCTCATTATAGAGGTAGTCCTTGTTGAATGACTGCTCATTCAGCGACCGCTCAAAGTTACGACAGTGCTGAACAAGGGGGACTTACAACTGGTCCTCATAGTTGTGGCTGTTGCAGCGCCCCTGCAGTCACCAGCTTGCAATTACAATGGTTGCAGTATCCCATAGTCAGGATTGCCTTCTGCAATCTCCGCTGCTGACTTCCAACAAGCAAAGTCAATGGGGAAGCTGGCAGAAGGTCCCAATGGTGGTTACATGCCTGCTGGACACTGGACTGCACAGGATTCGCCTAATGACAGCAACTGGAATTGCTGCAACTGCCATTCTAAGTCGGCACAGTCACGTAATGTCACGCTTTATGACCGTGCCATTTAGTGATGGAGCTGTGGGTCCCAATTACCATCATTAAGTGAGGACTACCTGTAATGCCCAGCAACCATGGCCAGGGACAGTGCATGCTGGGAGTTGTAGGTCATCAACCAACATCAGGCTAGTTCCCACAGGTGGGTTCTTTCATCTGGTCTGACTCCGACTACCACACCTGAGGTGCAAAAAACGCAGTAACTTTTGATTGCCATCTTGTTCCTGTCCGGATGTTGGCATAACCAGTCCTGTAACCCTGGACGTGAGTTCCCACCTGCAGCCTCAGGGGCACCGTCCAGACCACAGGAAAGCTAGGCCCGGAGGAAAACAAAAAAGCTGGAGAAGAAGAACGGCCCCAAAGGGCGGGCAGCGAGGCCTCCTGACCCCCAGCGGGGTTGTCCCCAGCCTTCGCTCCCCTTCCCCCGTCCTGGCAGCACTCTGGCTGCCCGGGTCGACCTGCCCCTCCGCCGCGGTATCTCCGGCCCCGCCATTTTCCGGCCAGGCCAGGCCTCGCCTCCTCAGCTCGGCCCCGCACACTCCCGCCGCCGCCGCCGCCGCCGCCCGAGACTTCCCCGAGCCAAGGGCGGGCCGGGGAAAGCCGCGGCGCACGCGAGCCCGCCTCCGCAACCTACCATCGCTGCCCCGCCGTCCTCCTCCTTTTCCGCAGACGGCGGGTCCCTTCCCCGGGCGGAGGGGGAAGGGCTGGGTGGGTTCGCCCGCGGGAGCGCGCCCGCCATCTGCACGTGCCCGCTCCCGTTGCTGGAGGTGGGGAGGAAGCGGGACGGAGCGCGGGGGACTCCGTGAGTCGACCTGGGGTCGGGAAAGGCGCGCAAAGCTAGGCGTTTTTGCGGTGGCGGCCGCCGCTAAACTAACCTGACAGGGAAAGCACCGGAGCGAATGCACGCCGCGTCCCCACCTCTCCCATTCGCTCCGGTGGGCGCGCGGCAGCCGAAGCGGCGCTCGTGGCTCCTCAGGGTGCGGGCGTCTGTCCATCGGGACGTGATTTCGCTTCATTTTCGGTTAATGTTCCACGCTGCCGCTTCTTTCCACCTCAAAACACTGTTCCCGTTGTCAGCCCTAGACGAACCCATTTGGGAAAGAGGCGCACTGACTGTACGGATGCACAGTATGCGTTTTCTATGCCTTTCTTCCTGAATACCCCGATGTGGTTTACAAGGCAACTAAACTCGTAGATGAAGCCATCATAATCAAGTATAAACGATGCTTAAAAAGTATATATGTAAAATGCATGCTCACAGATCAGGCTATCTAAAAATCAGCCCGAGGTTGGCATTAATCCGACACAATTACTAATACAGGTGCAGCAAGCCATCTAGAAATGGTGGTGAATTCCATCAATACAAACAGAAAATGTTGCAGGTAGCCCTCCTGCTCACAGCTCCAGTCAGTCAACAATGTCTTTCTGCAGAATACCATTTCTTCTTCAACTCAGGCTCCCGGCCTCTCCTCTCACAAGCAGTTTCCGGAGGATGGTATGACATATCACTTGTTGCTTGCTTCCCTTCCAAAGATTTAGCCTCCAGCACACTGTAGGACTTAACTGAGCTTGCTGACCCTTGTGTGCACATGGAGTTAGTTAGAAGCATCAGCACTCATTTCTAAACAGTAATGGTTAACATTAGTGATTATTTAATTAAACTTAAGTGTTGTTCTCTTCTGCCTGACAGTTATTCTACCTAGGCAGTATAACAGAGCAAGGATTGGGGAGACCTGGGTTCATATCCCCAGTGTTATGCACTGGAGGATTTGAGGTCTCTCAATATATCTCAACCTATTTATTTCACAGTTTTGCAGTGGAGATAGCACAGAAGAGGTCAGAGAGGGGAAGGAGAACCCTGTGAGCTGTCATAAACTCAAAGGAAAAGCAAGACATGCTGGAATTGATCTGGAAATTTCCCCTCTCTCTTTCTGCAACTCCCCCAAAGCTGTGGCATTTGGAGGGATCCTCAATCTGGGGCATATGTGGGGAGGTAATGAAAAAGGGAGAAGAGAGGAAGGAAAAATCCCATTGTAAGTGGAAATTTTTTTACATAATGGTGGATGCAGCTTAGCATTAAAAATACCATACAGAAAGAACATAATCAGGTTTGGAAACGGGTATTTTTAAATAATGAAATATCCATTATTTACAGGCCACAGTTAAGATCATAACTGAAATCAAAGCAATATCAGTTCCTATGCTGTATGCATATAATATAAACACAAACTTAAATACAAGTTTGCCCTTTGCCTCAGAATGTCAGGGACTTTTAAAAATAAAGTTCTTGTGCAACAGCACTACTTTTTTTTCCTGAAAATGTATTGTCTTCTATTTCAGTATGTATGCTGTTGCCCAACAAAATAACTAAGTGCAAAAATAATTTTGCCACTTGCTTTTATTTCTAGGGAGTTGAAGTCTAATTAAAAATCAATGCTTGCTTTTAGCCTTCTAAAAGCTAAAAAAGAACCTTTTTTCCAAATATAAATGCATAGGATTACATTGCAAGTAAATTAATATTCAAAAGCAACTGCTAAATTAATATAAGAAAACAAGGCCCAAGGCCACTTTTGAATAATCAGGATCCAGTTCCCGGTTTATTCACTTAAAAAAAAAAAACAGACTTAAAATTGCTGATGCTGTCTAAACACAAGGGAAATTAAAACATTCTGCTGGCAACTTATGTTGAAACACATGGCAAAATGATTGGCTTGTGGATTCATTCTGGAGAAGCGTTTGTTTCTACAATGAATGGCCCTCTCAATTTAAATTACAATTGGCAGTCACTTACCCACATTACACATAACTTATTAGTGGATAGTTTTATTACTGTGGAATCATACAGCACTGTGTTGAATTAGTACCTTTTTTCTGTTTTATCTTGTCAGTTTTATTTAGGATCAAGTCCCATTAAACAGACACCATCAAAACTATACCACACACTCACATACATTTTATAGCTATTAAGCCTCCTTACGAGATGTACATGTTTTGAATTACAGAGTGAAAATGATAGTTTAATTGAAGCCTGGGTAGCTAACAAAATATTCATTGTTTGAAATGAATTTAAACTGCTTGCTTAAGATAACTACTGTAATTTTGTCTTATTTTCTGATTGAAATTTAAAGCATTATTTTAAAAGCTGAAATCATAGCAGGAGTGTCTTGTTAATAGTAGATGCCAGATGAATTTCTTATTAAATGATAGGTTATATACATACAGCTGAAATATTAAATTCTTACTTTTTTTATTAGGACTGTTGCTAGTGGAGTTGTCCTTTTTATTACTGTTCTCAGCCATCCCACAGCCCTATGCAGAGAATCTGTTCCAGGTGAGTCTCCAGGTTTGGGGGGAGGGGGTGGAGGCACTGGAGAGGAGGGGGAAACCACTGCAGGGAAATATGCTGTTTTGTCAACAAAGGAACAAAATTGGTGTTCAAGCCTATGACTCACAGGATACCTACAGATGAGGTATGTTTAGCCATATTCTAAACATTTTTAATGATCTTATTGTTCTTGTTTATTCTCCTGCAGCATTAACTTTGCAATGCTGATTCACGTTCCAGGGAAGATATGATAATCGCGTGGCAGGAATCAGAGAAGAAAGAATAGCAAGCAGCAAAGCTTGACATTTCTTCTGCCATTTTCAATATGGGTGTAAAAGTCCTAGTTGGGTAATATTTTTATAGGTGTTTGGATTGTTTTAAAATAAAGTGCAGAGGAGCTAAAGGCTACTTTATGTATCATGGATGAAGTGTAAACTGGTACACCTTGGATTATTCAGTTCAGTTGATTACACTCATAGACCAGCTCAAAGTAAATCCAAAAATAAAACATCCAATTTGCCAATGGTGAATAGTGAAAATAAACATTGTGAATATTGAAACCTAAATGTGAATAACTAATTGAAATAAAATCGTATAAGCCAAGACTAAAGTAATGAGCCTGTCTGAGTGAAAAGGACCCCTAAAAGATGCGTATTAATAGGTTACAGAGAATACCACTGACAGCAAAGCAACATTTGGATACATTCAGTGAGACAGACTGGTCACATAGTAATAGGTGAAGATAAAATAGAATGATTAGAGCATTTGTCTAGAAAGAGAGATAACAGCGCCTGACGTGAAGCACTGTATTAGGGACTGTACAATGCCACATAACTCAGCGTCTTGATTATAACATAGGTGCGTAGTCTTTGCTCAGATGAAATATCCCAGTATCTCCCCTCAGTGACAGCTGTTGAGGGGAGGCATTAAATCTGGCCAAAAAGATGGATTGTTTAGTTATGCTTGAAATCTGAGAATTAAGCATTTACATACTGTGCAGAGGATGTGTTGTGTGCTAAAAAAAGGAAGAAATGTACATACTGTATGGTTTCTTGCCTGTAAGCTTTTGTGCTGCACACCTTCTCCAGAGAAAATGGAAATTCAAGGTGCTAGCATGAGAAAGCACAACCTGCGGTCTCCAAAAGCCTGGAGTGTCCCTGTGTCATCCATAACAAGCTGGGATGACATCGAGATAGTGACGTGTGTTATGATGTCATAGCACAAAGGACATAACTTAGTGCATGTATCATAAATCTGACAGAATTACACATGTTGCATCATTTGTGTCATGTCCTGCCCACGTGTCATTTGTTTCTCCTCCGATGCTCCCCCCCAAAACCCCTGGTTTGGCCCCAAACTCCTTCAAAAAATTGCCACAAAACTAAAATTTTAATGGGCCTGAAGTGGAATCTTTAAATACTGGGGGAGTACATATTTACTCATTTCATTTAATTTTAACTTACTGTAAGTTAAATCACATTATCATTAAATCATTAAATGTTGTTAGCCACCCAGAGTCACTTGATGAGATGGGTGGCCATACAAATTAAATGAATAAATAAATAAATCATTTTGTTTTGGCCCACATACAGTTCCTGATATGCCACTCAAAAGCCATAGGTTGCACCTTCCTGAAATATGGCAGGGAGGATATGCTTTTTGATTACAACTGGGATTCTTTGTTCTGTGCCAAATAAATAGAATGCTCAGCAGACAACATAGTGGAAAATACATAGAGTTAACTAAGCCATAGGCTATTACGTTGGACTGCCTTAGTATATAGTTAGCTATATACATACAGTACATACATACATACATTAAAAAAAATCCCCTCTCACCCCTATGGGTGGTCTGTGTCTTCCTCAATCTCAGGTCCTCTACCAGAGGCCTGGGAGTTTGAGGGTTCTGCGCAGTATCTTAGGTGTTCCTAGCACTGCTCTCTTCTAGACAGAGCTCTCATGTCGTTCCTGGGATCTGTTGGAGCCACTCTCCCAGTTTAGGAGTCATAGCCCTGAGTGCTCCTACCACCACCAGGACCACTTTGGCCTTTACTTGCCACATCCTCCTTCAGGTCCTGGTACTTCTCCAGCTTCTCATACTCCTTCCTGATGTTGCTGTCACTTGGCACTGCTACATCTGTCACCACTGCTGTCTTCTTGTCTTTGTCTACTACCACAATGTCTGGTTGATTGGCCAGTACCTGCCTGTCGGTCTGGATCTGGAAGTCCTACAGGATCTTAGCCCTGCTATTCTCCATGACCTTCTATGGAACTTTCCATCAGGACTTGGGAGGGTGTAGCCATACACTGTGCAAGTTTCTGTACACAATGCCACCACCTTGGTTATGTCATTCAGTATATGCTGTTCCTGCCTGCATCTTCCCCCCTGCCACTATGTGTTGGACTGTCTCTGAGGCCTCTTTGCACAATCTGCACCTTGG